TCTTTGTTACTAATGATGAGGCCCAGAAATCAGGATTTTAAAAAGATTCCCAGGTGACTCTAATGTGCAGCCAAGGTTGAGAACCACTGGCTTAAGCAATGAGCTGCGTGGCACTCCCCGCTGGAAACCATTTTCTTGATGAACCACCAACGATACTGATGTGATTCTGATGACAGTTCTGCACATCGTAGGGATCAAAGCCTCCTGTTGTACAGCCTGAGCCCCCAGTCCTGAGGGCTGTGCCCTGTTTCTTTAAGAACCAGTGGAGGTGCCAGGAGGAGGACCCCCCCCCGCCCCCGCAGGCACCCCGCCCACTCACCGTGGTGATGAACCTGTACAGGGGCTGCCGTCTCTCTGTGTACTTGACCGTGATGGGGCTGAGGTCGTAGCGGAACCAGATGGCAGGGATGATGCGGCCCGTGTGGCTGTAGGCGACGTACTCCTGGGTGGAAGAAGAGACGGGGGGCGGAGGGCATGAGATTCAGGCACACAAACCGCATCTCACGGTGGGTGGGGGGTGGATTACAGAATGGGCCTTCCTCCCTCTCTCTCCCAGGGAGCCAGACCCCCCGGCCACACAAACCGCATCTCACGGTGGGTGGGGGGTGGATGACAGGGGTTCCCCCTGCCACCCACGAGAATGGGCCTTCCTCCCTCTCTCCCCCAGGGAACCAGAGCCCCCGGCCCCTCCTCTCACACCCCTTCCCCAGAGCCTGTGCCGTCAGCATTGGTCTGGACGGGCATCGTTGCTGGGGGCATTTTGACCTTGGCTGCCGGGAAACTGTCCATATTTTGATCCCAGAAGCAGCGCCAGAATAAAAATAAGAATCTGAGAGCAGAAAGGGAAAAGGACAAGTGTGATTTGGGCTCCTTCTGAATGATGGCCTCTCTCCCGCTTCCTGGGCCATGCAAAACCCATTCATTCATTCATTCAGCAAGTTTCCTAAGCGCCTCTCCTGTGTGCTGGGGCCATGCTGGCGGCTGGGGACCCCAAGGGAGTGAGCCCGGCCCCATCCCCAAGGGGGTCACCATCTGGGGAAGGCAGATGTAACACTATGTGCAATCCTGCGACACCGTGCACGCTGTGACCGAGGGACACGGAGTCCTGCAGGGGTCACGGGACAAGTGACCAAGTCTCCCCAGGGCGTCTGGAAGGCTCAGTGAGGAGGGGACATCCTATGCCACACATGACATCCTGAGGAGTGTGTGCGTGGGTGACACAGAGAGGTGCGTCTGAGACCACGTGGGAAGAAGGAACACACGGAACTGGAAAGCCAGAGGGCTCAGCCCCACAACCGGCCTCCCAGGAAGGCACCGCTGGGGCCGAAAGGATGCTAAGGGCCTGAGTGGGCTGTGTGCCCTCTCTGGTCTGGGTGCCTTGGGATGCTGCAAACCTCTGGGCTCCCCTCATTCACCTCCAACATCTGGAGACCAAGCTGAACCCCCAGGGCACCCCCAACCCCAAACGCTGGGCCGGATCTGAGGCTTCTCCTGGGGATGAGCCCGAGACCTGCCCTCTCTGTTCACCGTCCCCGATGGGCACAGCCCCACTCGCTCTCGGGGCAAGCTGGGGCCAAGGCCACAGAGGGAGCTGAGCAAGCTGTTCTGGGCGCTGGGCCCTGGCCAACGCCTCAGGGGAAGGAGCCTTGGGCAAAACAAGATCAGCTTTCTCCAGGGGAGCGGATGGGGCAGGGCGACTGTCTGGGTCATAGCCTGGGGCTGAGGGTCAGAGAGAAATAGTGAAAAAAGAGCAGCATTTATCCAAAGTCTTATCCAATGCCTGGCTTTAAAGGCACCGCCTCATTTGACAGTGGTCTTGTGAGGTGGGCATCATTTTACAAATGAGTAAACTGAGGCACCAAGGGGTTATGAGACTTAGGGACCGAGCCAGGTCGGGACCGGCTGTCTCCTCCACGGCTCCCCGACTTCTGCTCAGACTGCCTCCGCGTTCTCCCAGCTGTCAGATGCTGTCAGCACCTGAGGGTGACAATGACACGCCCTCCAAGAAGCAGAGAATAGAAGAAACAGGCTTCCTTTTGGGGAGCTTCACCGGAACATCACCCCGGGCGGGTCAGAGCAGAGGGACCTCAGGTCACCCAGAGAGGGAGGAAGGCCCGGCCCGCAGTCTCCTGCCCCTTGTTCAGAAGGAATGGCGATGGGACCAGGAGGCCAGGCTCTGGCGCCCAAGGAGAAGCCGGTTCTAAACCCCACTTGGCTACCCTGTAGCTTGACTACCTTTCTGTGTCTCAGTGGCCAAATCTGTAAAATGGGGACAATAATGGTGCCGACGTCAGAGCTGTCATGATGACTGGAAAAGATGGTGGAGGTAGAGAGCTTAGCAGAGTGTCCAACCCATTACAGGTGCTCAATAAATGAGAGCTACTGCTCTATTATTATTACTAATTGAGCGAAACACTGTATCACGTACAAGGGTTTTGGGCAGCCCTGGACCAGATGAAAAAGGAGAGTCCTGGTGGCAAAGGGGTCTTGTGGGGGGACCTCAACCAACGAGCATCAGGCATTCATGTCCCACTGGCAGGCAGGGTCCTCCCCCGGGCAGCCTGAGGCCCTCGGCCTGAAACCACTGTTGGTCACCCCATCCCGGGGTCCTCCCCCGGGCAGCCTGAGGCCCTCGGCCTGAAGGCCTGAAACCACTGTTGGTCACCCCATCCCACTGGCTCTGACCACGCCCTGCCTCCCCGAGGCCTGCCTGCTTCTCCGTGACTGGGGGTGTTGGGGTCCTGGGACATTCCTGTTAACCAATGGCCATCGCTGTGATTCAAGAGCCAAAGCGTCTGTCATGTGGCCAGAGGCAGGGCTGTGGAGCTGGCGGTAACTCCTGGACCTTCGGGGGCGGCCACCTGCCTGCTCTTTCTCAAATTGTGCCCCGACACGTGCAGCCTCTGCGCTCGGCCAGCAGAGGGCGCTGTTGCATGCAGCCGGGCCCCGCGGCCGCTGCCCGTACCTTGTTGGCCACTGTGTACTGGTAAGAGTACCGCTGCTTGCCACTCTTGTCTTCGTAAACGGTGGGCACGATCTTCAAGATGTAGTCGTGGGAGGCGAGGGCTGCGGGAAGGACACAGCAGAATGAAGCAGGGGGTGGCAGCTCTAGGTCATTTCAACCTTCAACCGGCGTGGCTGGCATTGCTGGCGACTGGGGGGTCGGGTGAGGGCTCAGCCTCCGCATTCTCATCCCGAACCGGTGACCCCGCTTCATCTTCTCCCTTCGACACCAGGCATTGAAAGACTCCACCTGTCAGGATCGTTACTCCTGTATTTAATATTAAAATCCGGGAACAACGCAATGCCCGTTCACAGGGCAGCCTATGGGGTGGGTGCTGGGCCAGGCCATCTGCCAAGAGGAACTGTTACGTAAAAAGAACCGCGTTACATAACCGGGTGAATAACACGTTTCCGCGCATGGGGGGCAGGGAAGGCTCATGCTCTCCACATGCAAAAATACATAGAAGCATTTTCTGGAAAGATACCCAAAGAACGATGACCAGCCTTAGCCTCTGGGGAAGGAGGCAGGATGTGATAAAGATCACATTTCACTGTGCACCCTCTGGTCCTGTCTGAATATTATTACGTTGGAAACAAACCGGGTTGAGGTTTTAAAAAGAAAGAGCCCACCAACTAGAAAAACGTCATCTAGGAAGAATTAACTTCTTTCCCCATTTTCAGTGAATGGGAGATCCGTGCTCCCCCCGCCGGGCCCTGTCATGGATTTCACGGTAACGGTCACCTCCACCCACTGGATGGGGAGGCCGCGGGGGGCAGAGGCCAGCTTGACTCAGCTCCGCGTCCCCAGCACCCGGTGCCGGGCCTGGTACGGAGCGGACAGCGGCAAATGCTTATTGAATGAATGAACGGATGGAGGGATGACTGGTCAGAGGCATGAATGGGAGAGCAGATGATTCAGCTTCTGATAAGCATGAGGCAACCGGAATCCAGCAGGAGCCTCACGGAGCGCTGGCCCCAAGCTGCCAAGTGGCACCCGGGAAAGGTATGCGCTCCCCTGGGCCTCCTGGGATGCTGAGGGAAGAAGCGCCAGGACCCGTCGATGACTGCCTTCTGGACTCTCCAGTCCGGGCCCCTGGAGCTGCAATAACACAGAAGTGCGGACCTGCGGGTTCTAACCCTGGTCTCCTGGCTGAGTCAGCCCTGAGCCTTGCACTCATGGGGGGGGGGGGGGGGGGGGGGGGGGGGGGGTGCAGATGGTGTGCACGGCCTCTTCCTGCTAACGCCAAGTCTCAGGAAGGAAGGGACAGCGCTGCCTGGACTGTCTTCAGACCTGACCCCTCTGCAAACCCGGGAAGAGCTCTGCAGCCTCAGGGCTAAGCCCACGACGACCTCAATAGTCCTCGGCTGAACCCTGAGTGGTCCTCAGAGAGCAAAGCACTGGAGTCACCCAGAAAAGGCAGACACCTGGCTCGCCGCCCTCCCCCCCAAAGATTCCTGCTCCGTGGGCCTGGGGTGGGGCTCAGAACCTGTCTGCATTTTAAACCAGGAGCCCACACGTAAAATACAGGGCTCGGATGCCCATCGCCCCGGGTTAAAAACCCGAAGGCCTGAAATCACACCTGCAAGGGTGCCATGAAGCAGAAGGGAGGTCACCGGGAAAGGAGGGGTGGTGGGAGGAGGAAGAGGGCGAAGGGGCCGGATACAAGGTGATGGAAGGAGACTGGACTCTGGGGGCTGAGCCGTCAATGGAGCCCACAGACGTTGGCCTATAAAGCTGACATCTCCTATAATGTCATCAACCGATGCTTACAAACAAGTTACAGACACACTGAAAATAGTTCTGTTACAACAGAGGGTCATAAAGAAAAGACATAGAGACCACTCACAAAGCCACCAGGCACAGGAAACCGTGGATTCGCACTCTGGGGTAGAAACTAGGATGGATACATAGTTTGTTTATATTTTCTGAAAACAGGATCATACTGTACCTTCGTCTAAGAACTGGACACCACAGACACCAGAGCGTAGGACATATGCCCTGTCATAGCCCCTGGCACGCAGTAGGTGCTCAGTAACCGTTTGCTGCCTGGATGCCAGCGAGGCTCTGACCCACGGCGGTCAGTGGGCGCCTGCGTCCTGCAGCGAGGCCACGTACAACGTACTCCACCAAGCCCTCCCCTCCCACCCCCCCCCGGCTGGACACAGACGCTGTTCCTCCTCTTCCCTCCTGTAAACAATGACCTAATGGACAGTGTTTTCCTAAGTCCTCAGGCACTTAATTATTCCCTCGACTGACTTATTTCCTCAGCTTACTCTCTCATGTGCACAACTGACGATGCAGACGCAATGACCACTTTTGAAGGCCTTTGACACAAGTTGCCCGATGTCCACGACAGCACCTCACACTCCCGCACGGGTTCCCTCTCGGCTGACTGCTCCCAGGGGCTGGCGAAGGCCCACACACCCTCCTGCCCTTCACACATCTTATTATGGGAAAGCGCAAACACATAAAAAACCGGGGACCGTATAACGAACCCCCGTGTACACATTCCCCGGAGTCAGCAAGGAACAGTGGCCAGTTTTGCTTCATCTCTGCCCCACTGCTCTCCCGCCCCCATTTGATGTTGAAGTTAATCCCGGACATCACATCAAGCCATCCACAAACATTTCAGTTATGTCTCCCTCAAAGATAAGAACTCCTTGAAAAAAACAGCAGCCGCCACCACCACCACCGCAATGCCATCATTACAGCTCAAATATCAACAGCCAGTATCTGCAAAGAGAGTGGGCTGAGCTAAGAAGAAAAACAGGTTTGTTCCTTAGGAGGAGTGGGGTTTACTGTAGATAAGGTAATCAGGGAGGGCCTCTTGGAGGTGGCGGCATTTGCGCTGAACCTGAATGACAACAAGCAGCCCCAGTGGGAAGACCCGAGGGCACGGGGACCCTCAAAGGCCAAGGCCCAGCAGGGGGACCGAGTTAGAGGCAATAAAATCCAGCGCCTGCTGCCCGACTTACGGCATTTTTCTTGCCATGAGCTGAGCTTTCGTTGGCTGCAAGGTTTTCTGCCCACACCCTCTACTGGCTTGCACCCCTCGGGCCACCTTGAGACAACACGCTGCCCTTACACAGACCTATGACGACTCCCCACCATTCGTGACATTCGCATGAACACAAGGGGGTATGTGGCTGCTCGGACGCCGCCGGAGGCAGCACCCATGGGCGCGGAGCTCTGGGAAGCCACTGGGTAACGTAAAGCAAACCCCACAAGCACCAGCGGCGTTACCGTCGGGGTGAAAAACGAGAGGAGACATTTCCCAAGAAAAGACAACGCCTGAATTCAGCCTGGCCGACGGCACCGGCCTCCATCACCGCGGGGAACACCGTACAACATGCGGTCATGCAACAGGCCGAGCACATGGCGCTTTGAAGAAATGGCTTCTGTGTGTGGATGGACGAGAACTCACAGGGGCACAGAGAACGAACAGGGGGGCTCCTGGGGCACAGCTCATGGGGAGATGCCTTCTCGTGCTTAGATTTCTGACGATTAGAGAGCAGAATGTATTTTAAGAAACAGTAAGAAGCCCGGCCTGTGTGGCTCAGTGGTTGAGCAATGACCTATGAACCAGTAGGTCACGGTTCGATTCCCGGGTTGCGGGCATGATCCCCAGTGGGGGGCGTGCAGGAGGCAGCCGATCAATGATTCTCTCTCATCATTGATGTTCCTATCTCTCTCTGTCCCTCTCCCTTCCTCTCTGACATCAATTTAAAAAGAAAAAGAAATAGTAAGAAAAGCCTGTGGATGAAAAAAGGTGAGCTCAGGTGAGGCCATTAGAAAAAGCCAGGTAACCTGCCCTGCAGGACCCAGGGGGCGGCCAGGCCTCCCAGGCCGGTGCTGTGCACGGGTCCAAGGCCCCGAGGGGGGGCGCACCCCTGCGTGTAGGTGTACTTTAATCAGCGCCGGAGTGCCGGGGAGCTGAGGCGGGAGAGGGCTCGGGGTGGGGGCATCCGTGGGTGGGAGGGGTTCAAGCAGGAAGAGGGGGTGGGGGAGGTGGCCCAGGTGGCCAGACCTGACTGAGCTGCCCACAGACCGGTTCCCACGGTGCCACGTGGTCTGGGATGAATTCTGGCTCTGCCGTCACTCCCTGTGGGACTCAGGTGACTAGCTCAACTAAGGACAATTAATGGCTGTCAGGACAGCAGTGACGCCACAGCGGCTGTCATTCACTGCCACTCACGGTGCGCCTGGGGCTGCCACACTTTCCCAGGAGCAGGTCACTCTCCCCTTCTCTGTGAGATGGGTAATGCCACCCCCCACCCCCAGGCCAGCCCGAGAACGGTGCCGCCCTCCCCCTCCCTCCCGGCTGCTGGGGTCCCGGGGCTGGAGGCAGCTCCAGGCGGACACGTACGGTTGGAGGTGAGTCTGTCCGCTCCTCCAAGCGCATTGAAGGCCCCGTGGACATTCTGCACCTGCGGAGAAGCACAGCGAGGAGGCCTCAGGAGGCCGCCGGCTCCGGGCCCGGCCCTGGCTGTGAGGGACGGCCACGGGCAATCCGGTGCGGGACCTCGTGGTCTCTGTGTTTGCTGGTCTGAGTAGAAACAGCTGGGCTGGGCTTGGCTGGGCTGGGCTGGGCTGGGCCTGCTGGGGGGGCCTCTGGGTCAGCAGCCAGGACTCTGGACACTTCACCACGCTCCCCCTATCCAATGGCGTGGGCCCGAGCAGTCAGGCCTCAGGGGCCGCAGAGGGGAGTGGGCGGGCTGGTCTGTGGAGCCGGACAGATCTGCTGGGAGACCCTGGACAAGTGGCTTCTCGGGTCCCAGCTCCACGTCTGTAAACTGTGGGCCCCCTCCCACCTCACAAGGCTGCGGACAGAGAGGAAGCACCAGCACTTAGTACTCGCTCATGAACAGCGAGGCCCCTTCCCCAGGCCCCAGGTCGGGACCCGAGGTCCGAGGCCAGCGTGTGCTCAAGAGCAATGAACTGGAGAGGCTGTGGATGCAGCAGAGGATCAAAGGGGGCGACCCCTCTGCGCCCAGGAAGGACAGACGGCTCGGGGGACACAGCCCCCGTGTGCCCATCCCTGTGGTGCGGCTGCTCACCTGCAGCGTGTCTCCGAAGGAGAGCTTGTGGATGATATGGGTCATGTCCGGGTTCTGGGGCTGGGCCGAGGCACTGTGCGTGGACACGTGGAAGTTGCCGGGGACCTGGGGAGAGAGGCGAGTGCCAAGAGGTGGGTGGGCTGCCCCCGAGGGGGGGGCGCGCAGGGCTTCCTCCTGGAGTTGAACACGTTTGGATTTGGACCCAGATCGGTCAGCCCATGAGACTCTGAGGAGCCACGGTCCCCCTCTGAGCCCCAGGTTCCTCGTCTGCAGGTGGTGGCAGTGACAGAGCTACCAGAGGGGCTGCTGGGGGATGGGGGGAGAGCATGCCCGCTGGGCACCTGGCACAAGGCCACGGCTCCAAACACCATCACCTCCCTGGCTGTGGGCTCCACAGCGGGTCAGGGGACGACCTTCAGGCTTGCAGCCCAAGGGGCTTCCTCAAACTCCAAAGCAACACCGCCCCCCCTTAGCGGAGGAAATGTGGCTTACACGCCTGTTTCAAACACTCTGGGTCTCTCTCGGGAACAGTCCTGTCTGCACTGAGGCCTGAGCTGGGGGCTGACATGGGAGGAACCTGGCCAACGGGACGTGGCCCGGCCTCGGCGAGCTCGCAGTCGAGTGGCTAGCACGGAGCCGGGCCCTGGGCCCAGGGAGCTGGGAGGAGGAGGTGCAGGCAGCCACGGGTCCCGGGTGAGCGGGAATGGCAGCTCGGTCAGATCTCCCGGGAGGGACACATCGCCCGCTCCAGGGGCCCAAGGACGGTGACAGAGCAGCAGCTGAGTGAGCTCCACACACGGGCCAGGCTGGCCCCGCTTCCCAGCTGGGGGGCTCGGGCATGGTCAGTAGCTACTCTGTGTCTCAGTTTCCCCATCAGCAAAACGGGGATGATAACCACGAGGGCTCCTGGGAGGATTCAATGAGGTGACGCGTGCAAGCCGATGGCGGTTGTTACTGGGTTGGGTTAGAGGATGGATGTGTTTGTCGTCAGAGCTGACAGAGGACCCTCCTGAAGAGGGCACAGCATGTACACAGCCAGGGCCTGGGCAAGAGCCACTGCGTTTAAACGTATTTTAAACGTGCCCGGCTGGCGTGGCTCAGTGGTTGAGCGTCGACCTATAAACCAGGAGGCCAGGGTTCGATTCCCCGTCAGGGCACATGCCCGGGTTGCGGGCTCGATCCCCAGTGGGGGGGCGTGCAGGAGGCAGCCGGTGAATGATTCTCTCTCATCATTGATGTTTCTATCTCTCCTCTCCCTTCCTCTTTCTGAAATCAATAAAAAATATATATTAAAAACACATTTTAAACACCACTTTTACTTCTGTAAATACCTGGATACATCCGCATTATAAAAAATTCACATGATATAGTCAGGACCACAGTCCCCGTCACCTTCCACCCCCGGAAATAAGACACCCGTGGCGTCTGGCGTGTCCTTCGGGGCTCCTCTACACGGTGACCTGGGCCCCGTGGACGTGGGCAGAGTTCAGAATCGGGTTTGGGGCCGGGGCCTCACGTCCCAGAGTTAAGTGAGTCAAGGAGCCCGGCTCCTGCGCATCTGCCACCCGCTGCCACCCCTCGGGCTGTGACTCAGTGACCCGCGCCCCCTCCGCACAGAATCCATCACAGGTGGCTGACTCATGCCAGCACATACTGGGCCGGAGAAAGAAAAGTCGACGCTTTTAGAGCTTGTGACTTAGGAACCTGCGTCAGTGCCTCTGATGGGTTTTAAAAATATAGAGAAGAAGCCAGGCCCCCAACCCCCTGCCAATCCTGCCCGCCTCCGGGGGCGCCGGGTGAGTAAGCGGGGAGTCTGGGCTGCCGTGCAGCTTGAAACACGTGACCTCTGACCTCTGGCTGCTGGCCAGCTTCCTGATGGAGAGATAAGGAGGCCACGCGGCAAGCGTAATAAGCCTGACGCTGCGAGATAAAGGGTGGGGCCTACTGTGAGCCTCACCCGCCCGTCACCACGGCGGGCTTTCTGATCCGAGCAACTGTGAGCCCCTCAAAGGCATGAACCATTCACCGGTCAAGGGTGGGGGGCAGAGGCTGGCCCGAGCTGTGCTCTGAAGTGAATGGACACACTGGTCACGTCACGTGTGACCGAGGTGTGGGCAAGAGGAAGCAACAGGGGACCAAGGGGAGGAGCGGGAGTCCGGGGGCCGGGATGCCTGGGTCGTAACGCTTTTCAGCTCGTTACAACTCGTATATGTCGTCTCCCTCCACCAGACGAAGGTCACCAGCACTGGGACTCCGCCCACCCATTCCACGCGTTGCCCCTGAGCTGATAACCTACCCTGGGACTTGGAAGGTGCTTGATAAAAATTTTTGGAATGAATGAATGTGTAATAGCCCACTTAATCCTCACACAAACATTGTGAAGGGAGGGGGATCATTAGATGATTATCACCACCCCACCCTCCACCTAAAGATGCAAAAACCAAGGCTAAGCCCGGCCGGCATGGCTCAAGGGTTGAGTGTCAACCTATGAACCAGGAGGTCACAGTTGGATTCTCGGTCAGGGCACGTGCCCTGGCTGCAGGCTTGACCCTCGGTGGGGGGCGTGCAAGAGGCAGCTGATCAGTGGTTCTCTCTCATCACTGATGTTTCTATCTCTCTCTCCCTTCCTCTCTGAAATCAATAAAAATAATTTTTTGGAAGAAAAAAAAGCACAATAAAAACAACGGAGGCTAAGATGGGTTGAGTGACTTGGAGGGCGTTGCTTGGCCAAGAGGGGATGGAGCTGGGATGCAAATGCAGGGCTCAGGGCTGCCAGCCCCCCCGCCTGCTCCAGCCAGCAGGGGCTCCAAACCCCAGGGAGCCTGGATCCCCCACGCAGACTCTCAGCAGGAACTGCCAGACCCCTGGGTGTTGACCCCACTCGCTGGGAACATCTGGGGGAGGCGAGGGGGTGCACAGCTCCGCCATCGGTTTCCAGGGAGGCAGAGGACCGAGGGGGTGGGGCTGCACAGACGGCTCTCCGTACCTTGTTGATGCTGAACTGGCCCTCGAAGCGGCAGCCCGCCCCGCTGTTCAGCGGGACCTTCATGGAGTTGTCGATGTGCCCCACTTCATGCCTGCCCATCTCATCCTGGATGTCCAGCCCGACCACTGCGAGGCCAAGGAGGGGAGAGTCACAAACAGCCGGAGAAACAGGGTGAAGGCCAGCCCCCTCCCCCGTCCACTCCAGGGACAGGTGGGGCTCGGCTCAAGGTCTGGGGCCGAGTCACAGAGGGGAAGTCAGCCATCGGAGGAGGAGAAAGTGACCCTGGACTAAGAGGGAGCCAGCCACCCCCCATCCTCCACCCGCCCCCCCCCC